ACCTGTGGTGATAATGGTCAATTCTTAGGAGAAAGCCTAATTCATAGGTAAAATGAGGTGGTCAGTCTATTTACAGGTGAAAGAGGATCACTTTCAAGTAAAAGGGGGTGGCTGAGCCCGTCTGCAGGTGAAGAGGACCTGCCCACAGTTAGTGATTTGGGAGAAAAGGAAGACCCTGCACCTTTAGGCCATAAACTTCTTTCCTTTTGGTTTTTGGGGGGCACAAGACTTTTTTTTATTAAAACAAATTGTTTTTTACAACTTTTTAAAGACAATTTAAGAACCAATGACAGGTCTGGGGTTGGGGCTGCAGCTCCATGGTACAAGCACCTGCTTGGCAAGCACGAGGCCCTGAGTTGATTCCTGGGACCAAAAGAAAACTAAAAAAACCAATGACATACTTCTGTAATGATAAAGGAAAGAAAACAATCTTTGCTTTTGAAAAACCAAGGACACAAAATCAGACTGTTTCTTTGCGCATGATCACAAGATTAGGGACTTTGAGAGGGTTGGGCATTACCCTTGGTGTGAGGTGAGGCACAGGCAGTTGTGTATGTTGTGGTGTTGTAGGAGTAAAGGAATGTGGTAACAGTCCTATTTGGTTATTGTTCCAATAAGTAAAATTAGTGAAATTAATATTAGAGATCAAGCTATGAATTGATATTGTTTTAGAATCAATCATTGTTGGAAAGCAGTAATTCGATTACTGATTAATCATTTAGGGTTGGGGAATATAATAACAGGGAATAATGATGCAATAGGTAATCTCATTAGGGTTGGTGTAACATAAGAGGCAAATAGATTTCATTCATTTTTTTTTCTCAAGGTGTTTTTTTTGCTTTATGGTTTTTAGATAGGTTGGGGATTAGGTGAAAATGAGTGTTGAGGATTTAGGTTGAAAAAATATAAATAATGCTATGAGTATTGATAGAATAGTAATAGATCATGTTGATGTATCTAATTGTGGCATTTCATTATGAGATTTCTCCCAGGTCTTTAACCTAAAAAGTTAATGCTGCCTGGCTTCATAATGGCTTATAGTATTAAGGACTATCAAATTTCAAATGTTTTTAATGGTACTATTTCAAGGACAATATGTATGAAACTGTGGTTTCAACTGCAAATTTCTGAGCATTGACCATAGAATAATCCTGGATGGGATGCTGTTAGAACTGTCTGGTTTAGGTGTCCTGGCATGGCGTCTGTTTTCAGACCTTGTGACGGGATGGCTCCTGAATGGAGAACATCTTCAGATGAGATTAATATGTGGACTGGTATTTCCACTGGAAAAATAACCCAGTTATCAACTTTGAATAGCTGAAGTTTGCCAGGTCTTAAATCTGTTGTAGGAACTACGTAAAAATTTTAATTTTAAAATTATGATTTTTGGGGGCCAGGGAGATGGCTCAGTGGAATAAGCGCTTCCCTGGCTAGCACAAGGGCCTGAGTTCAATCCCGCAAAAA